AGCATGAGCCTCCTAGGTTTTGTATTGAAGTCAATGTACCCAGAGGAGGACGGATGCTAGCTGTCCTCCGGCTACACCATGGTGCTACCCTACAGAGTGCTTTTGAGGCTACTGTAGACCTTTGTGTGTGTTTTAATCAATTATTTGGTGTCGTGAATATATTTAGTATAGTTTTCTCTAAAAAGCATAACTTTTCAAATGTTTCACTATTTAAAAAGGCAATTGAGGCCGATACGTAAAGCTTATTAAAGAGCAGTGATACTATCAAGAGCAGTGTGCGGGTTTCTTCTTTTTTTCTCGCTATAAAATTTTTTATGAAATTCACTGAGGATGGTCCTCCCCTTTCTCCTCTGAGGAGCCTCAACTGTGTCAGACTTACACAGATAAAACTGTTGCCGTGAGAGGCCTCACTGAGGTCACAGCTCAGATAAATGTACAAACTTAAAAGCTGCCACTCTACGTTGTGAAATGAGACTATCCATCGCTTCTGGGATGTTCGTGGCTGGAGCAAATCACACTGGACTGGCCATCAGTGCGTACAATAACACACAGAGACACGGGCCTACCCACCATCTTAAAGAAACATGGAGAAGTATTTAATGGAGAGCTGGGCAGCATGAGATACATTACAGTGAAGCTTAGCATTAAGTCAGACAACAACCAACGTTTCTGAAAGCATGGCCCATACCTTATTTTCTTTTTATTATTATTATTTTTATTTCACCTTTATTTAACCAGGTAAGCCAGTTGAGAACAAGTTCTCATTTACAACTGCGACCTGGCCAAGATAAAGCAAAGCAGTGCGATAAAAACAACAACACAGAGTTACATATAGGGTAAACAAAACATAAAGTCAAAAATACAACAGAAAATATATATACAGTGTGTGCGAATGTAGTAAGTTATAAAAAATAAAAAAAAGTTATGGAGGTAAGGCAATAAATAGGCCATAGTGCAAAATAGTTACAATTTCGTATTAACACTGGAATGATAGATGTGCAAAAGATGATGTGCAAATAGAGATACTGGGGTGCAAATTAGCAAAATAAATAACAATATGGGGATGAGGTAGTTGGCAGAATGGCTGTGTACAGGTGCAGTGATCGGTAAGCTGCTCTGACAACTGATGCTTAAAGTTAGTGAGGGAGATAAGAGTCTCCAGCTTCAGAGATTTTAGCAGTTTGTTCCAGTCATTGGCAGCAGAGAACTGGAAGGAATGGCGGCCAAAGGAGGTGTTGGCTTTGGGGATGACCAGTGAGATATACCTGCTGGAGCGCAGACTACGGGTGGGTGTTGCTATGGTGACCAGTGAGCTAAGATAAGACAGGGATTTGCCTAGCAGTGATTTATAGATGACCTGGAGCCAGTGGGTTTGGCGACGAATATGTACTGAGGGCCAGCCAACAAGAGCGTACAGGTCACAATGGTGGGTAGTATATGGGGCTTTGGTGACAAAACGGATGGCACTGTGATAGACTACATCCAATTTGCTGAGTAGAGTGTTGGGGGCTATTTTGTAAATGACATCGCCGAAGTCAAGGATCGGTAGGATAGTCAGTTTTACGAGGGCATGTTTGGCAGCATGAGTGAAGGAGGCTTTGTTGCGAAATAGGAAGCCGATTCTAGATCTAACTTTTGATTGGAGATGCTTAATGTGAGTCTGGAAGGAGAGTTTACAGTCTAACCAGACACCTAGGTATTTGTAATTGTCCACATACTCTAGGTCAGACCCGCCGAGAATAGTGATTCTAGTCGGGTGGGCGGGTGCAAGCAGTGTTCGGTTGAAGAGCATGCATTTAGTTTTACTAGTGTTTAAGAGCAGTTGGAGGCTACGGAAGGAGTGTTGTATGGTGTTGAAGCTCGTTTCGAGGTTTGTTAACACAGTGTCCAATGAAGGGCCAGATGTATACAAAATGGTGTCGTCCGCATAGAGGTGGATCCGAGCGTCACCAGCAGCAAGAGCGACATCATTGATATACACAGAGAATAGAGTCGGCCCGAGAATTGAACCCTGTGGCACCCCCATAGAGACTGCCAGAGGTCTTGCATGGGCAAGTTGCAGCAGAGGGTGCAGAGCTGGTGGCCGGGGTAGTGGTAGCCAGGTGGAAAGCATGGCCAGCCGTAGCAAAATGCTTGTTGAAATTCTCGATTATTGTAGATTTATCGGTGGTGACAGTGTTTCCTAGCATCAGTGCAGTGGGCAGTTGGAAGGAGGTGCTCTTATTCTCCATGGACTTTACAGTGTCCCAAAACTTTTTGGAGTTAGTGCTACAGGATGCAAATTTCTGTTTGAAAAAGCTAGCCTTTGCTTTCCTAACTGATTGTGTATATTGGTTCCTGACTTCCCTGAAAAGTTGCATATCGCGGGGGCTGTTCGATGCTAATGCAGTACACCACCGGATGTTTTTGTGCTGGTCAAGGGCAGTCAAGTCTGAGGAGAATCAGGGGCTATATCTGTTCTTAGTTCTGAATTTTTTGAATGGGGCATGCTTATTTAAGAGATTGAGAGGAAAGCACTTTTAAAGAACAACCAGGCATCCTCAATGCTGTCAGACCAAAAGTCAAGGCTGACTTGGACGCTTTAGTCATAAACAAAGTACTGGAGCCGGTCAGCGTGAGTGAATGGGCAACACCCATGGTTCCTGTCCTTAAGTAGGATGGTGGAATCAGGATATGTGGAGTCTTTAACGACCCAGTGCAGTCAAAAACATGATTTCCTTGTGTTTTATATATACGCTACCGGTCAAAAGTTTGGACACACCTACTCATTCAAGGGTTTTTCTTTATTTTTACTATTTTCTACATTGTAGAATAATAGTGAAGACATCAAAACTATGAAATAATACATGTGGAATCATGTAGTAACCAAAAAATCAAAATATATGTTATATTTGAGATTCTTCAAATAGCCACCCTTTGCCTTGGTGACAGCTTTGCACACTCTTGGCGTTCTCTCAACCAGCTTCACCTGGAATGCTTTTCCAACAGTCTTGAAGGAGTTCCCACATATGCTGAGCACTTGTTGACTGCTTTTCCTTCACTCTGTGGTCCGACTCATCCCAAACCATCTCAATTTGGTTGAGGTCGGGGGATTGTGGAGGCCAGGTCATCTGATGCAGCACTCCATCAGTCTTCTTCTTGGTTTTTGCGACTGCACTTGAAGAAACTTTCAAAGTTCTTGAAATTTCCGGATTGACTGACCTTCATGTCATAAAGTAATGATGGACTGTCGTTTCTCTTTGCTTATTTGAGCTGTTCTTGCCATAATATGGACTTGGTCTTTTACCAAATAGGGCTATCTTCTGTATACCACCCCTACCTTGTCACAACACAACTGATTGGCTCAAACTCATTAAGAAGGAAAGAAATTCCAAAAATGTACTTTTAACAAGGCACACCTATTAATTGAAATGCATTCCAGGTGACTACATCATGAAGCTGGTTGAGAGAATGCCAAGAGTGTGCAAAGCTGTCATCAAGGCAAAGTGTGGCTACTTTGAAGAATCTCAAATATAAAATATAGTTTGATTTGTTTAACACTTTTTTGATTCCATATGTGTTATTTCATAGTTTTGATGTCTTCACTATTATTCTACAATGTAAAAAATCAAGAAAAACCCTAGAATGAGTAGGTGCGTCCAAACTTTTGGCTAGTACTGTATATGTGTGAACTTGCCTTTATGACACACAAAAAAATAATAATAATCATAATAATTTGTCCCCCCATTTCTAAAACCAAAGTTGCGCCCCTGTCAAAAAGCACTAATCTCTCAGCACTAAAAACCACAGATGCATTTTTTGCCCCTCCCATGGCTGGAAACCTACATCTAGGCAAATGTTCTCAGTGCAACTATGTTGATGGACATGGAAATACTTTATTTTGCCAAGCTTGTACAATGTTCTTACTTTACATGGCATTTGCATTTGTAATAATGAGGTTGACAAAATGTCTAATATTGCTGTCAAAACAAAGGGAAACTGTGGTCTCCTTTTGAGTTTGCAGATCCTGCAGTGTGTGAGCATGAGGCAAATAGGCTGTCAGTGGTTAAAGGTGTGTTTACACATGGGGCACAATCTGGGCCTCAAATTTCACTGTGGTTTTGCTAATGGATAGAGAATGGAAATTCAGCCTAACCAGTGATAGCAGCAATAACAACTTATGGAAGGTTTCTATATTGACTGTCCACCACTCATGGAAAATGGAGCAGAAGATATGTTGGAATGATTTTAGTACCCTGATGTGCTCTTGTTAGAAAAGGTGTTCCCCCCCCCCCCAACATATTCTAATCATGATTTCCCTTCCCCCTCCCTCAAGAATCACTACAAAACAGATAAGACAGGAAAAATACCAGCTCTGATTTAAGTTGTGGCTAACTTTCCAGTCAAAGCAATCTGACATTTGCATTGATTTTAAGTGTGTGGTGGCTCCCTTAATCACTCCTGCATTTTAGCAGCCCAGTCTGGACCTTGAGTCCAACATACCACTGATACAACCATGAAACTACAGTCGAACGCCAGTTAATTGCACTGTCACTTGCCTGTGATTGATATTGACACAACGGACTCCTTTTTCATGGGCTATTACAGATCTAGGATCTTAATTTGACCTATATTGTCACAGCAAAATAATCCTGCAGCAACAGGATTTGAACATTTAGTCCATTATGTTGCTTGATCGGTGGTTAGGCTATAGCTGGCCAAAAGTAGGCTACAAAAGAGTGATCAAATTAAGATTCTACTCTTGTACATTCATGCAGTTCATTTCAATGGTAAGCTAACTCTACTGTACGAAAAACCAATCTCAAAATGCAAATGTTCCTTACTTCATCATCATCACTGGGAAAGATGCAAAACCATCCACATCCACATCCACATCCCCTCCCTCCCTCTCTCCCTCCATTCCACCTTCTTTCCACTCCACCCATCCATCCATTCTACTATAAAAAAAGGTAGAATGCCCATAGTTCCAGTTCAGAGCTGTGGTTTGTTGATGTTGAGGTATGAGTGTGTGTGGTGGTGTGTGTGTCGTCCTGGGCTGGTTGGTTCTGATCCTGGCTGGCCGTCAACTGACTGAGGGAACCGGTCTGCAGCTTCCAGGGGACTACTCCATCTCTGGTCTCTTTCCCCTACATAAGTTGGCCACCTCCAGCTCCAACCTACCAGACCTGGGAGCCTGTAAAGAGTAAGTCCAATAGCAAAGATCTCACAAGAGGACATATTTTGTTAATCTATTTCCCTGGAATTTTAGTTAATTATAGAGAATCAGTGAGTTATTGTGACTTGAATCAAACACTTTCTTTAAGTAATGGATTCATGGTTTCATTTCTTTTGATTCTGCTTGCAATCAATTATCCTATTCAGAGGCAAATCTAATAAACATGGCTATCATTTGATACAAGCCATGAGATTCGCTGTGGAGGAGATCAACAATGGCACCAAAAACCAGCATCTTCTCCCAGGGGTAACGCTGGGTTACCAGACGTATGACACCTGCAACCTACCAGCCAGTGTGCTGGCCACTCTGGACATGCTGGCCCAACAATATCCAGAGAACTTTAGGGAACAAGACAGGTGGTGACCAGAGGGCAGTGGCAGTGATCGGGCCTGATAGTAGCAGTTACACCTTCACCCCTGCTGCAGTGCTGGGCTCTTATCTAGTGCCACAGGTACAGTGTATTCTCTAAATCCAGTTTTTGGTCACCAGTAAAACTGATGCTAATCTCTATGCTCCTTAGACTGAGAATGGAATACAGTTGTGACCATTTGTTTTAGTCTTCTATTGCTCTTCATTTTGATCTTATCTTAGGTTTTTTTGAACCTATCTATACTTTATACTTTGTCCTCCTCCTCTTCTTTCTCCTCCCCCTCCTCCTCCTCCCTCTCCTCTTCCTCCTCCTTCCCCCCTCCTCCTCTTCCTCCTCTTCCACCTCCTCCATTACTTCCCTCTCCTCCCCCTCCTCCCTCCCCTCCTCCTCCTCCTCCTCCTCCTCCTCCTCCTCTTATCTGTGATATTTTTCCTAGATCTCCTATGAAGCCTCCAATGAGATGCTGAGTAACAAGCTCCTCTACCCAGCCTTCTTCCGCACCATCCCCAGTGACAAGAACCAGGTGGACGCCATGGTCCAGCTGCTGGTGCGTTTTAACTGGACCTGGATCGTTCTACTGGGCAGCGACGACTCCTATGGCCTCCAGGGCATAGAGAGTCTCTCCCATCAGGCTGCCCACTTTGACATCTGCATCGCCTACCAAGGGGTCATCCCCGAACTCACCTCCGCCAACAACCAGACCATGAGGAACATAGTCAAGAACATTGTGAAGACCAAGGTCAACACTATTGTTGTGTTCTCCAGCAAGACCAAAGTCAGTCAGTTCTTCCCGTTTGTCATAGAGCAGGGTGTAACTGGTAAGGTGTGGATAGGGACAGAGGACTGGTCAGTGGCCACTCTAGTGTTGGGGATACCAGGGATCCGCACCATTGGGACTGTACTAGGCATCTCCATCAAATACGCAGCCTTAGCTGGGTTTGAGGAGTTCGAAAGCCATGCTGTTCCAAAGTTACTTAGTGGCACCTCCAATGGCACGATGGACCTGAGTGTTGAATGTTTGCAAAATATGGACCTCTCCAGCATGGCAGCAGAAAACTTCTCTTTGGAGGACTATGACATCAAATCCTCTTATAATGTTTACAAGGCTGTATATGCTGTGGCCCATGCACTGCACCAAGCACTTGGTTGTGGCTTGGGTGAATGCCAAAAGTCTGAAGTGCTACCTTGGCAGGTTAGTGTTTTCAAAATGGTGGTACTGTAGTCAAAAAGTAAGTAATGTTACTGTCTTGAAAGGAGGAGTTGTTGAACTGATGCGTGGTTTTAAAATTAAGTTCTGAGCTTAAATATGTCGTTTTTTAATGTAGGAATTGATAAAGCTACACTGTAAGGTGTGTATACCATCAACAAGCCAACAACAAAACGTTATTTTCACTCAAAATCACAACTTAAATGTCTCACAGAATGGACTTGCCCTCATCAATACTGCAATTCCATTGTACTACTCTGGAGGGGGATTCCTAGCCCAATATTGACTGCGGTCAAGTGAGCCTACACTCGCAAAACGCGGTCAAACCATCTGCTCTTCAGTTTCTTCCTGAATTTGCGTGCGCGAATGCACTTTACGGAATCGCGTTTTTCCGGCAGGGAAACTGAGTTGGATGGACTCTAATGCACAGATAGTCGAGACGATAGCTACAAATCATTCCAAGCAAACCATTTGAAACAGAACTTATTCAATCTTCCATAATAAAAATGAAACCAAATCATTTATTTTCATTTTCGCGTGATAAAAAAATTACTTTGTCATGGGTAGAGTGAGGCTGCAGTAGTCTATCGGGGTGCTGTTTAGCAAATGTTAAATTGTTAAAGCAAGATGTGTTTACAGTCATGACGTACACTATATATACAAAAGTATGTGGACACCCCTTCAAATTAGTGGATTCGGCTATTTCAGCCACACCTGTTGCTGACAGGTGTTTAAAATTGAGCACACCACCATGCAATCTCCATAGACAAACATTGGTAGTAGAATGGCCTTACTGAAGCGCTCAGTGACTTTCAACGTGGCACCGTCATAGGATGCCACCTTTCCAACAAGTCAGTACGGCAAAGTTCTGCCCTGCTAGAGATGCCCCGGGTCAATTGTAAGTGTTGTTATTGTGAAGTGGAAACATCTAGGAGCAACAACGGCTCAGCCGCGAAGTGGCAGGCCACACAAGCTCACAGAACGGGACCTCTGAAGCGCGTAGCGAGTGAAAATCATCGGTCCTCGGTTGCAACACTCAATACCGGGTTCCAAACTGCCTCTGGAAGCAACGTCAGCACAAGAGCTGTTCGTCGGGATCTTCATGAAATAGGTTTCCACGGCCGAGCAGCCGCACACAAGCCAAGCGTCGGCTGGAGTGGTGTAAACGCTACAGCATACAATGAAATTCTAGACGATTTTGTGCTTCCAACTTTGTGGCAACAATTTTGGGAAGGCCCTTTTCCTGTTTCAGCATGACAATGCCCCCATGCACAAAGCTAGGTCCATACAGAAATGGTTTGACGAGATCGGTGTAGAACAGAGCCCTGACCTCAACCCCATCAAACACCTTTGGGATGAATTGGAATGCCAACTGCGAGCCAGGCCTAATCGCCCAACATCAGTGTCCGACCTCACTAATGCTCTTGTGGCTGAATGGAAGCAAGTCCCCACAGCAATGTTCCAACATCTAGTGGAAACCCTTTCCAGAAGAGTGGAGGCTGTTATAGCAGCAAACGGGGGACCAACTCCATATTAATGCCCATGATTTTGGAATGAGATGTTGGACGAGCAGGTGTCCACATACTTCTGGTCATGTATTGTATCTACTGTAGCCCAAAGTTACTTTATAATTCTCTCACTGAAATAAATGTCTTTCCTGTTACCAAGTCATTTACGGTTTCTATGCCTTTAGTTTTCCTTGTGGACCAATTTATCTGTGATTTCTGAAATGCTATCCATGGATTGTTCCATAAGGTTGTGTTTTTAGGGATTAATTTTGATTCTTGTAGAATACGTTTCATTTTCTTCAATATTGTTATAGTGTTCTTAACTATGAAGTTGTTAATGTTCTTAGATTTATCCTTTGAAAATTGATACGTAAAAGTATTCTGTGGATGAGCATGCGCATCTTCAATATGTACCTATTGTTCCTCTTTAGTGCATTTAACTATATGTCGCAAGTAAAAGCCTTGGGTAGCGAGTTGATACAATTCCAAGTCTTTTAGGTTAAAACCACCCTCAGATACTCACGAGTGGGTATCTGAGAACTGCATCGCAGTGCTTGAGGTGCCACTACAGACCCGGGTTCAATCCCAGGCGGTGTCACAACTGGCCGTGACCAGGAGACCCCACAGGGGGGCCAGTATGAAAATGTATGCACTCACTAACTGTAAGTCGCTCTGGATAAGAGCGTCTGCTAAATGACTAAAATGTAAAAAGCCCACTCTAAAGAAAGGGAGTACAAGTCCACTACACACTTGATTGCCATGTACTATTGTAAATCTACAGTAAACCATGTTTACTGTCACAGCTATGTTCTTTATCTTCTGTCTATCCCTCAGCTTCTGCCACTGTTGAAGCAGGTGAGATTCTCTGTTGGGAACTCCTCTATTTACTTTTATGAGAACGGAGACCCGCCCACAGGATATGACATCGTAACCTGGGTTTGGAGGGGAACAGAGTGGTCTCTCCTTGAAGTGGGCTCTTACACACCAGACCCCACTGAACTAACAGTGGACCCTGCTCAAATTGAATGGGATGGTGACAACGGATACACAGGAAAAGTAAAGGCTCAGTATTACAGCATTTACACAGTAGTATTATAATCATACCCATTGTCAGATTACATTTTAGAATAGTTTTGGGTACTATATAAATAGAAAGAGGAAACCCTGGTTATAGGTGGACTAGGAACATCGGTGTGTGTTTCTGGTTGTGTCTAGGAGGTGCCTCCGTCGATATGCTCCCCAGAATGCCCTAAAGGACACAGGAAGCTGCAGACGGGACAACACAAGTGCTGCTTCGACTGCCTGGCCTGTGCTGCTCAAACCTTCCTCAACAAGACTGGTGAGATTACAGATTACACCAACCAGTTGTCTTGTATGCTCATCCATTGTCCAAGCCATGTCTGTTAAAGAATATTCAATTTTTACTGTTTAAAAGTGTCCAGCAGGTGGCATATGTTGCCCTTCCATAAACTGTCTCCTACAGCAGGTGGTAGCACTAGCTTTCAAGTTTCAAGTTTTAATGTCACATGCACACAAGTACAGTGAAATGCATTTCTTGCTAGCTCTAACCCCAACAATGCAGTAATCAATAACAATGTAATACTACAAATAACAAGGTAGAACTAAAACACACAAGATGTAAAAATAAGAAACAAGAAGAACACAATAAAGTAAGTAAGCATGCTATATACAGGGTCAGTTCCAGTACCATATTTACAATGTGCAGGGATACTGGATCGTTAGAGGTCGATATGTATAGGGGTAAGGTGACTAGGCATCAGGATATATGATAAACAGAGTAGCAGCAGCATATATGATGATTGTATGTGAGTGTGTGTAGAGTCAGTATAAATGTATGTGCATATTATGTGTGTGAGCAAATGATGGAGTGAGTATTTATATGTGTGTTGGAGTATCAGTGGGTGTAGTGTGTAGGGCCCTGTCAGTGTGCATAGAGAATAAAATACAAAGGTCAACTCAGATAGTCTGTGTAAACATTTTGTTAGCTATTTAGTTAGCTATTTAGCAGTCTACTCGAATAGCACATGATGGGAATACAGTCTCTGATGATGTTGTAATCACTGCTATCCATTCAATTATGGGGATGCTTTTAATCTCAATGTGTGAATGTAGCTAAGCCCCATCATCTTTGGAAACTCTGCACTATAAATATTGAACTGACCCCAGCATTGATGTTATGGTATGTCACTCCATAGGATCCACCAGGTGCCAGAAGTGTGAGCTTTACCAGTGGTCCCCAGCGGAGAGCGAGGTGTGTCTAGATCGGACGGTCCTGCTGCTGGCCTGGGGTGGCCCCCTGTCTGTCGCCCTGCTGCTCCTCCTGGCTCTGACCCTGCTCATGACCCTGGGGACAGGGGTCATCTTCCTCCTCAACCTGCACACCCCTGTGGCCAAGTCGGCCGGCGGGCGCACCTGCCTGGTGATGCTTCTAGCCCTAACCGCCGCGGCTGCCAGTGCCCTGTGCCACTTTGACCTCCCGTCTCGGACTGCCTGCCTTCTCAAGCAGCCGCTCTTCGTCTTCAGCTTTACCGTGTGTCTGGCTTGCGTCACAGTCCGCTCCTTCCAGGTGGTGTGCATCTTTAAGCTGTCCTCCAAGCTGCCCCGGGCCTATGATACCTGGGCTAAGAACCACGGGCCTGAAGTCACCGTCTTCGTTGTTTCCATGATAGTGTTGTTGATCTCTGTGCTCCGTGTTACTCTAAACCCCCCGTACCCCTCCCTGGATGTGGCCTTCTACTCCGACAGCATCGTCACAGAGTGTAGTAACACCCTCTCTTTCGGGGCCATGATAGAGCTAGCCTATGTCTCTCTGCTCAGCATGCTCTGCTTCTCCTTCAGTTACATGGGCAAAGACCTGCCAGCCAACTACAACGAGGCCAAGTGTATCACCGTTAGTCTCATGATATACATGATCTCCTGGATCAGCTTCTTCACAATCTATTTTGTCAGCAGGGGGGAGTTTGCCATGGCCATGCATGTGCTGGCCATAGTGTCCAGTGTGCTCGGTATACTCAGTGGCTACTTCATGCCCAAGGTCTACATCATTGTGCTGAGGCCCCAAATGAACACAACAGCCCATTTCCAAAACTGTATTCAGATGTATACCATGAACAAAGAGTGAAAGATATGTGTTCATCATAGATTTGCGTTTTGTATTTCTGGATACTTATTCCCAATCCATTGTATAGGTAGGTGGCTTTAAAAATGACATAGTAAATGTTGCTCTGCTCTTAGCTAGTAGAAAATAAATATTGCCCTTGAACATTTAAGTGTATGTATAACTTTCTCTAACATGATTGTAATGTAGTTATGATATCTTTTTAAAGTACTTATTTTTAAGTGTGTGTTTTTACTGGGGGGAATTGAGAAAACCCAAAGCTAACCCTCTTTAGCTGCAGCTGGTGTTGTGGTCTTTCTTCAGTGTCTGTGTGGCATATGTCTGGCCTCTCTTTAGAAGAATACAAAGTGGTAATATGGGCAGGCCATAGAGAGGTGCCTTGCCTTCTGTTGGTGTGAATGCCCGTCTGTCTGTTTGCCCTGTCACTTGACATCTGCGGTGACAGGATTCAGGAGCTCAATGGGACAGCTGATTTAAACCCATACAGATGCCTACAGATGTAGGACCTTAATGTGAGCCAGTTTGTTACAGCAGGAAAATAATCCTGCAGCAATAGTAAATGTGAATTATTATGTGGATTATAATTCATGGACATTTTGTAATTTTTCGTTAGGGCAAATCAAGTCTGAAATTTCAAAGTGTAAATGACAAATTTTAGAAGCCTTTTAAAAACTAAAATACACTACACGTTTGCATTCCCTGCTGTGCAGGAACATTCTCAGCAACAAAAGAGTGATCAAATTGAGATCCTACATCTGTATAAGCCTGTGATTTAAACCCAGCTATCCCAAATACCCAGACACATGCCCCATAGTGCTCTGTTTTAAACTTAGAGAATGATAGAGGCTCTAGTGGCTGAAAGGCCATATTATCATGGGCAGCGCCATTGAGGGCTTCCACCATGTTAGTGTAGTCAACTGGGTGGGACTTCCAACTTCATTGGCTGATCCTTCCTGGTGACCTGGTTGGAGTCATGTCCAACCGGGTCATCAGGAGGGATCAGCCAGTAGTGAAGAAGAAAATGGACTACTTAAAAACTGAGATAGCCTCAATGGTGCTGCCCATGATGTCACAGACACTATAATTACACATATACAAAGATGAGTATTCTATCTATCTTTATGGTTTTAAATCCAAATGTGTGAGTCAGTATGTACAGTGCAGTATGTACAGTGCATTCGGAAAGTATTCAGACCCCTTAACTTTTTCCACATTTTGATACATTACAATCAGGCCTTTATGGTAGAGTGGCCAGATGGAAGCCACTCCTCAGTAGTCCCGTGTAGCTCAGTTGGTAGAGCATGGGGGGCCAGTACGAACATGTATGCACTCACTAACTGTAAGTCGCTCTGGATAAGAGCGTCTGCTAAATGACTAAAATGTAAATGTGAAAGGCACATGACACCTAAAGACTCTCAAACCATGAGAACAAGATTCTGTGGTCCTCTGTAGCTCAGCTGGTAGAGGACGGCGCTTGTAACGCCAAGGTAGTGGGTTCGATCCCCGGGACCACCCGTACACAAAAAAAAATGTATGCACGCATGACTGTAAGTCGCTTTGGATAAAAACGTCTGCTAAATGGCATATTATTATTATATTATTATTCTCTGGTCTGATGAAACCAAGATTGAACTCTTTGGCCTGAATGCCAAACGTCACGTCTGGAGGAAACCTGGCACCATCCCTACGGTGACGCGTGGTGGCAGGATCATGCTGTGGGGATTTTTTCCAGCGGCAGGGACTGGGAGACTAGTCAGGATTGAGGGAAAGATGAACGGAGCAAAGTACAGAGAGATCCTTGTTGAAAACCTGCTCCAGAGCGCTCAGGGCCTCAGACTGGGGCGAAGGTTCACCTTCCAACAGGACAACAACCCTAAGCACACAGCCAAGACAACACAGGAGTGGCTTCGGGACAAGTCTCTGAATGTCCTTGAGTGGCCCAGCCAGAGCCCGGACTTGAACCCTATCGAACATCTCCGGAGAGACCTGAAAATAGCTGTGTAGCAACGCTCCCCATCCAACCTGACAGAGTTTGAGAGGATCTGCAGAGAAGAATGGGAGAAACTCCCCAAATACAGGTGTGCCAAGCTTGTAGCGTCATACCCAATAAGTCTTGAGGCTGTAATCGCTGCCAAAGGTGCTTCAACAAAGTACTGAGTAAAGGGTCTGAATACTTATGTAAATGTGATATTTATTTGCAAAAATGTCTAAAAACCAGTTTTTGCTTTGTCATTATGGGGTATTGTGTGTAGATTGATGAGAACCCCCCCCCCCCCATTTAAGCAATTTTAGAATAAGGCTGTAACGTAACCAAATGTGAAAAAAGTCAAGGGGTCTAAATACTTTCCGAATGCACTGTACAAGACATAAATCTTAGTGCACAGACGCTAAAACGCGATAGTCCGGCGTCCCATTGTGACATAGCTAGACGACCATCCACGCGGGACGCACAGAATGAACGCACACCTCCCCACAATTCCCAACCAATGCGTCTCTTGGTACGCGTCCTCTATTAATTTGAATGTGTTGACAGTTGGAAAAATTGCTTTAGCTCACTGAGAATTTGAAAAGTATGAAACCCAACGGTCCAATATTCTAGAACAATATTCTGGTACTCTGATAGACTATACATTTTACCTCAACTTTTTGAAGAATCTGCATATGATTCTTTTTGCTTTAATCAATTAATAGACTTTTCTTTGTATAGCGCTTTTTACTATTTGAAATAAATAACCAAATAAAAAAAACTATTTAAAGTAAATAAATAACCTTGTTTTCCTTCTTTGTATTTCCTTAAAGGGCAATTCCACCACTTTTCAACGTCATACTCATTATCTCCAGCACCTTACCAGTGCCTACTGTCACGACTTCCGCCGAGGCTGCCTCCCCTCCTTGTTCGGGCAGGCTTCGGCGTTCGTCGACACCGGCTTACTAGCCACTGCCACTCCATATATCATCATTCCATTTGTCTTGTCTTGTCAATTACACACACCTGGTTCTTATCCCCTCATTAGTCTGTGTTTAAGTGTTCCCTCTGCCCCCCTTGTCCTTGTGGGGGATTGTTGTTTGTGAGAGTAGTGTAGCTCGGTGGAGCTACTCGCACTTTGTATTGCCGGGGTAGATAGTTTTCCCTGTGCCTGTTTTCGTGTGTCGCTATCCAGCGCTATTGTGTACAACGGAATAAACTCTGTATTCAGTGATTTACCCTCCTGCGCCTGACTCCTTCTATCACACTCATCACAGAATCACCCACCCGCTATGGAGTCAGCGGGAGTGGAGCGCATGTCTGGAGTCGTGGCACGGGTCCAGGAGCATTCCATGATGCTGGCCAGCTTGGGGGAAGCAATGGATCGGGTTCTTCAGGTCGTCCAACGCCTGGAGAGGAGAGGACCCAATCTGTCAAGACCAGCTGGCCAACCAGATTCAGCCACCTACACCCCAGCACCCAGACGGATCCAGATATCCCGACCACGGACGTTCGACGGGACGGCGGCGCTCTGCCAAGGATTCCTCCTCCAACTGGAGCTCTACTTCTCCAGCATCAGGCCGGCCCCATCGGAGCGGGAGAAGGTGTCCGTCCTCGTTTCCTGCCTCACGGGGAAAGCCCTGGAGTGGGCCAACGCGGTTTGGAACGAAGGAGGGGCCGCGTTGGAGAACTACGGGGAGTTCGCTCGCCTCTTTCGGGCGGTCTTCGATCACCCGCCCGAGGGTCGAGAGGCGGGCGAGCGGCTGGTCCATCTGAGGCAGGGGACGAGGACCGCGGAGGACTTCACGTTGGAGTTTCGGACTCTTGCAGCGTGGTCCGGGTGGAACGAGCGGGCCCTGATCGACCATTTCCGGTGCCATCTGCGGGAGGACGTCCGACGGGAGCTAGCCTGCCGGGACACCATGTTGTCTTTCACGGAACTGGTGGACATGGCCATCCGTTTGGACAACCTGCTGGCAGCCAGAGGACGTCCTGGTAGGGGTCTGCCCGTTTCCACCCTGTACGACTCAGATCCCGAGCTGATGGAGCTGGGTGGAGCCGCCGTCCGAGAGAGTGGACGATGACAGCGACAGTGCCACTCTGGTGGCACAGTACACCACACATGGTCATCAACGCTCTTTTAGGTCTGGAGGCGGCAGGCAGGGCACTCTCGCATCACCCCAAGTATCGAACACCCACACTCGTTCAGAGCCCTCTGCTGCACACTGTAGCCTACCTATCTACTTTCCCGATCACATGGTAGTTCCCCAGTGTTAGGCGCTAGTCAATTCAGGCGCAGCTGGGAACTTTATGGACAGGGCATTCTCACGCCGTCAAGGCATTTCATTGGTTCCCCTATCCATTCCACTCCCCATCAGAGCACTTGATAGTCGACCATTAGGGTCCGGGTTTGTTAAGGAAGTTACTGTACCAGTCACCATGATCACCCAGGAGACTCATTGTGAGCAGGTTACTTTTTCTATTATTGAGTCTCCTTTTTTCCCTGTGGTATTAGGTATCCCTTGGCTAGCACTCCACAACCCCACCTTCTCATGGCCGCATAGGGTTCTCACGGGGTGGTCGTGAGAGTGTCAGGGTAGGTGTCTAGGTGTTTCCGTTGGTGCCACCACGGTGGAAAGTCCAGACGGTACCTCCACCGTGCACATTCCCCCCGAATACCTCGATCTGGTGCACGCATTTTCTAAGACGCAGGCGACAAAATTACCACCTCATCGGGCGGGGGATTGCGCGATAAACCTTCGGGTAGACGCTGTACCTCCCAGTAGTCATGTGTACCCCCTGTCGCAGGCTGAAACGGAGGCTATGGAAACATACGTCACTGAGTCCCTGGGCCAGGGGTATATACGTCCCTCCACTTCACCCGCCTCCTTGAGTTTCTTCTTTGTGAAGAAGAAAGACGGCGGTCTGTGCCCGTGCATTGGGCAAGGAGACGATAAGATTTAGTTATCCTCTCCCCCTCATTCCTTCAGTGATTGAGTCAATGCATGGGGCACGCTTCTTCACTAAATTAGATGCATGTTCGGGAGGGGGATGAGTGGAAGACAGCATTCAGCACAACCACAAGGCATTATGAATACCTGGTGATGCCCTACGGTTTGATGAATGCTCCATCCATCTTCCAGTCCTTTGTGAACAAGGTGTTTCGGGACATGCTTGGTTGTGGTGTGGTGGTCTACATCGATGACATCCTGGTGTATTCCGCCACGCGCGCTGAGCATGTGTCCCTGGTTCGCAAAGTGCTGGCCCGACTGTTGGAAAATGACCTTTATGCCAGGCAGAGGAGAGTATGTTTTTCCAGCATTCTGTCTCCTTCCTCGGATACCGCATTACCACTTCAGGTGTGGAGATGGAAGGAGATTGCATTTCAGCCGTGCGTAATTGGCCGACTCCAACCACGGTTAAGGAGGTGCAGCGCTTCCTTGGCTTTGCCAACTACTATCGAAGGTTTATCCGGGGCTTTGGCAAGGTCGCAGCTCCCATTACATCCCTGTTGAAGGGTGGGCCGTCCCGGATGCGCTGGTCTGCTGAGGCTGACCTGGCCTTCAGTAGACTGCGGGGTCTGTTCACCTCAGCCCCGGTACTGGCCCACCCCGATCCATCACTACCATTCGTAGTGGAGGTGGACACGTCCGAGGTAGGGATAGGCGCTGTCCTATCTCAATGCTCGGGTACGCCACCAAATCTCTGCCCCTGTGCCTTCTTCTCTAAGAAGCTCAGCCCGGCGGAGCAGAACTACGATGTTGGTGATCGGGAGCTGTTGGCTGTTGTCCAAGCTTTGACTGTGTGGAGGCATTGGCTCGAAGGGGCGAAACACCCTTTCCTCGTCTGGACGGACCACCGTAACCTGGAGTACATCCGGGCAGGAGGAGGCTGAATCCTCGCCAGGCCAGGTGGGCCCTATTCTTCACCCGGTTTGATTTTACACTGTCATACATTACGGGTACGAAGAATGTGAAGGCAGACGCACTGTCCCGGCTGTATGACACAGAGGAGAGGCCCAGAGACAACACCCCCATACTCCCGGCCTCCTGCATTGTGGCGCCGGTAGTATGGGCGATGGACGCGGATATAGAGCAGGCATTACGCACAGATCCATCTCCACCTCAGTGTCCAGCTGGGCTGCGGTACGTCCCTGCTCTTATCCATGATCGTCTGATCTACTGGGCACACACGTCACCCTCCTCTGGTCACCCAGGTATCAGTCGTACAGTGCGCTGCCTGACCGGAAATTACTGGTGGCCTACCTTGGCTAAGGACATGAGGGTGCACGTCTCCTCCTGCTCGGTATGCGCCCAGAGTAAGGCACCTAGGCACCTCCCAGCAGGTAAGTTACAACCTTTACCAGTTCCACAACGACCATGGCCTCACCTAAGTGTTGATTTTTTGACTGATCTTCCCCTCTCCCAAGGTAACACAACCATCCTGGTCGTTGTGGACCCCTTTTCCAAGTCCTGCCGCCTCCTTCCTCTGCCCGGTCTCCCCATGGCCCTGCAAACTGCGGAGGCCCTGTTTACTCACGTCTTCCGGGATAGGGGGTTGAGGATATAGTGCCCGCCGAGACCCCGGGTTACGCCAAGGTTGGAGGGTTCAGAACGTCGGGGGGTTCCGGCGCCGACCCGGGTCCCCCCCGAGAGTAATGGGCAGGTGGAATGGGTAAATCAGGACGGGGTTGGTTCGGGGGTCCTATCCGGGCCCGGCCGGGGGGGGGAGGGTGGGGTTTCGGCCATGGGAAAGAATACCCCAGAATCTCCCCACTCCTCTACAAACCCTAACCCCAAATCCAATGGTTTAGGTTACCGCCCGGTTTGGCCCCGTGGCCCAGGCCAGACCAGGCTCCTGCGGGGGGGACTGGTTTGGTGGGAGGAGACGTGGGGCGCTCCACGTTCACCCCCAGTGCGCCTTCGTTGTCAGAAGGCCCAAAGCTGACGCCTCCGGGGGTCGGGTCTGCCTCTAACCCAAATTGCCCTCCGCCTGCCCGCCGGAAGCTGAGCCCGGTTTTTGGGGGGTTCAAATTGAGGGATCAACGGGGCCATGGTTTTTACTTCCCCCCGATTTCCGTTAACCCTGTTTCATGGTCTCTCCCCCAGACGGGGGTGGTTTTGGGCCCCTCCAGGAGTCTGAGGTCGGGGGGGGTTCCCCCACCCCCTCTGGACTCGAGGGGGGGCCCCGGGTTGTCTTGTTGTTCCATGTGGAACCATGGAGGGGAGGGGGACGGTCCGGGGGAACGGTGCGGGTCCCGGGAGGGAATCCTCGATCCCTCCCTGTTGGGGATTTCCCGTCGCCTCCGGTTTTGCCCGCTCCCCGTCCTCCTGGGGCCCCTCCCGAGGGAAGGGCGGCGCGTGTGGAGTGCGCGTAAAGGGGGGGGGGGGGGGGGGGGGGGGGGGGGGGGGTACTGTCAGACTTCCGCAGAGGCTGCTCCCCCCTGTCGGGGAGGCTTCGGGTTCGTCGTACCAGAATAGCCAATGCCGTCCATTTTAAACATCATTCCCTTTTTTTTCTTGTCATACAAACCCCCGGTTTATCCCTCATTAGTCTGTGTATAAGTGTTCCCTCTGCCCCCCTTGTCCTTGTGGGTGATTGTTGTTTGTGAGAGTAGTGTTGCTCGGTGGAGCTACACGCACTTTGTATTGCCGGGGTAGATATTTCCCCTGTGCCTGTATATTGTTGGGGTATCCTGTACCGTGTATTGCCAGGGTAGATCGTTTCCCCTGTGCCTGTTTTTGTGTGTCGCTATCCAGCGCCATTGTGTACGACGGAATAAACTCTGCTTTAGAGAGAATGAATGAGGTTGAAAAGTGGTAGAATTGCCCTTTAATGTGTAAACCCGTTTTTTTTTTCCATAATGTAAAACGTTCATACTTAACCCAATTCTCTTAGGGGGAAACTATTGCTAAAGTTATATGTGAATTTTCCAGAATTTGTTAATCAAATTTGACAAGACATTTCATACAGGGGGATCAAATGGTTAGAATATAATTCATGGACTGCAAGATCCACTACAATTTCATCAAAAAGAACAATCCTGGACAAAAGGTTATTATATATTAAAACATTATTGTAGTTTTAAACAAGTAGCTGCAGCTGGTGTTGTGGTCTTTCTTCAGTGTCTGTGTGGCATATGTCTGGCCTCTCTTTAGAAGAATACAAAGTGGTAATATGGGCAGGCCATAGAGAGGTGCCTTGCCTTATGTTGGTGTGAGTGCCTGTGTATCTGTGTGCCCTCTCACTGGGTGTCTGTGGTGGCAGGATTCAGGAGCTCACACCAACATAAGGCAAGCTGATTTAAACCTATACAGATAAGGGAAACTATTGCAAAAGTTATATGTGGATTTTCCTGAATTTGTTAATCAAATGGGAGAAGACATTTCATGGAGGAGGATCATATGAACTGGTTAGAACAGAATTGGTGGACTGCAAGATCCATTACAATTTGGTCCAAAAGAACAATCCTGGACAAAAGACAGGTTATTATATATAAAACAATTATTATAGTTTTATTGTCATACACATGTCATACATAGTTTAAGAGCTTCTTTAATGCATTATAAAACATCAGAACAATAACAACAGTGATATTACAAAGTATAACAACACACTAGTCCCTTTATAAAAGATACATCCATCCAAAACATAACATAACATATTAATAATAAAAGAGAAATATCCTCAAATAATTGCTGGTGAAAATACAGTAGCCTATTGTAGTTACTGTTACCTCTAGCATAACACATGAACTCCACTGGAGTAAGCAATAATTTCACAATAAATTCAAATTTCACAATAAAATATCATAACTCAATAATTAGCTATATTCTTCAATGCAAACGGAAAAAAAACTAATGTGATAAAACAAGTAAGAGAAATAACTATCTTCACAAAAAAGTCACTTAAAATATACAAGAAATCAAATAATGTGCCACACATATCTGGCCATCAATGTGATGAGACAATAAGAGCTCAGTAAACCCACAATGGTGGAGGAGGTTGGAAATGCATATTTCCTACATAGTGAGGGACATACAGTCCAAAGTTTCCCTCAGATTTTACAGTGACTCCAGTAACTCTCTCTACCAGGGCCTCCAGACTGGACCTTTAACTCCTGTGTCCTGGAGCGTGGCGGTCGGACGGAAGATGGAGGAGACTGGGGAAGTGGAGCGGACCATCGGGCTGCTGCAGGATCTCTGTGCCTGGGAGGAGAGCTGCTGTTGGAGCCCCTGAAGAGGTCCAGCGGAGGTGGTGGTGGTGTCTCTCATGGGGCTTCCAGACAGGAACTGCAGAGACTCCCTCCAGCAATGTGAGTAACCCTCGCTGTAGTCACTCTGAGATGGAGCCGGCTGCGGCTGCAGCTGTTGCCTCAGGAATCTCACGGTCATCTCCAGGATGTCGGCTTTCTCCAGCTTGGTGTTGGGGTCCTCTTTGTGGAACTCCTTCTCCAGGATGAGCTTGAGCTGCTCGATGCAGCCGTTAATGCGATCTCGACGCATCTTCTCCACAATGGGTTTCCTTATCTGAGGAGGCAGAGAACATTTGATTAGTCGACAGTTCTAATATATGACACCAAGAAATTCAGTCAAATACTTAAAAAAGCCACAATATACATGAAAATACACATTTTATACTTTATACACACTCATACATTGATTGAACCTAACACATACCTTAATGTATTTTTCTTCAAACTTCAGATGGTGGAAAGAGGATAAGTTAGTTAAGCAGGGAGCCATGTCTGTGTGAGAGAGTGACAGGTCTGTCGGCTACTTCTCCTGGGCTGCAGAGTGTGGTCTGGGCCCTCTGAGGGATCTCTCCCCCTTTTTATAGCAATGGATTAGCATGACAAAGCCATGTGGCCCTGGCCCAGCTGGGGTTCCCACACTACTGAGACCACAGGGCTGCCCATCGCAACAATAGGAGAAACATCAATAACCTGATGGGTAACGGGTAGTAGAGGCAATACAGGGATTTTTCCCAAGATAAGCAGCAACTATTGATTAATACATGAATACATTACACATGCAATTAACATTACAACATACTTATCAAATGAGAAAATAATGACAGGTAAAAACAGGTGAAACGCAGACACACTTCTGAAGGCAAGGGCCCTCTTCAAAGAGAGTCATTTAGACCATAAAGAAAATATCTAAATTAGACCATAAAGAAAATATCTAAGTAATTTCAGTGCACTAAATGTCCTAGTTGACGTCCTGAGAACCCTTTCATCTAACACAATCAAGCCAGTATAGAATTCACAAATCAAATTAATCTTTAGAGTTTTCTTTCTCTCCAGACAATTTTCATTATAATTAATCAAAAATGAGTTGAATTGTTGCATAGTTTCAACAAAAGACATACAATTTGGATACAATTCATTTTATTTAAGCAGCCAATTGTGCAATAGAGTGTTTAGAACACTTTTTAAAGTAAGTGGTATCATAACCAGTAGGCTAGTATTGTTATGAAATGATACTAATGCTAAATTATGCTAATATCTGATACAGAAGACAATCACAAAGACACAGGCTGTCGCTGTGTTGGAATGTGGGGATCACACACACTTACATTTGAAGTCGGAAGTTTACATACACTTAGGTTGGAGTCATTAAAACTCGTTTTTCAACCACTCCACAAATTTCTTGTTAACAAACTATCGTTTTGGCACGTCGGTTAGGACATCTACTTTGTGCATGACACGAGTAATCTTTCAAACAATTGTTTACAGACAGATTATTTCACTTATAATTCACTGTATCACAATTCCAGTGGGTCAGAAGCTTACATACACTGAGTTGACTGTGCCTTTAAACAGCTTGGAAAATTCCAGAAAATGATGTCATGGCTTTAGAAGCTTCTGATAGGCTAATTGACATCATTTGAGTCAATTGGAGGTGTACCTGTGGATGTATTTCAAGGCCTACCTTCAAACTCAGTGCCTCTTTGCTTGACATCATGGGAAAATCAAAAGAAATCAGCCAAGACCTCAGAAAAAAAATTGTAGACCTCCACAAGTCCGGTTCATCCTTGGGAGCAATTTTCAAACGCCTGAAGGTACCACGTTCATCTGTACAAACAATAGTACGCAAGTATAAACACCATGGGACCACGCAGCCGTCATACCGCTCAGGAAGGAGACGCGTTCTGTCTCCTAGAGATTAACGTACTTTGGTGCGAAAAGTGCAAATCAATCCCAGAACAACAGCAAAGGACCTTGTGAAGATGCTGGAGGAAACACGTACAAAAGTATCTATATCCACAGTAAAACCAGTCCTATATCGACATAACCTGAAAGGCCACTCAGCAAGGAAGAAGCCACTGCTCCAAAACCGCCATAAAAAGCCAGACTACGGTTTTGCAACTGCACATGGGGACAAAGATTTTGGAGAAATGTCCTCTGGTCTGATGAAACAAAAATAGAACTGTTTGGCCATAATGACCGTTGTTATGTTTGGAGGAAAAGTGGGGTACTTGCAAGCCAAAGAACACCATCCCAACCGTAAAGCACAGGGGTGGCAGCATCATGCTGTGGGGGTGCTTTGTTTCAGGAGGGACTGGTGCACTTCACAGAATAGATGGCATCATGAGGAAGGAAAATTATGTGGATATATTGAAGCAACATCTCAAGACATCAGTCAGGAAGTTAAAGCTTGGTCGCAAATGGGTCTTCCAAATGGACAATGACCCCAAGCATACTTCCAAAGTTGTGGCAAAATTGCTTAAGGACAACATAGTCAAGGTATTGGAGTGGCCATCACAAAGCCTTGACCTCAATCCTATAGAAAATGTGTGGGCAGAACTGAAAAAGCGTGTGCGAGCAAGGAGGCCTACAAACCTGTCTCAGTTACACCAGCTCTGTCAGGAGGAATGGGCCAAAATTCACCCAACTTATTGTGGGAAGCTTGTGGAAGGCTACCCGAAACGTTTGACCCAAGTTAAACAATTTAAAGGGAATGCTACCAAATACTAATTGAGTGTATGTAAACTTCTGACCCACTGGGAATGTGATTAAATAAATAAAAGCTGAAATAAATCATTCTCTCTACTATTATTCTGACATTTCACATTCTTAAAATAAAGTGATGATCCTAACTGACCTAAAACAGGGAATTTTTACTAGGATTAAATGTCAGGAATTGTGAAAAACTGAGTTTAAATGTATTTGGTTAAGGTGTATGTAAACTTCGACTTCAACTGTGTGTATAGTTCAGACTTTTCTCACACATCCAGCGGTGTGCGGTGGGAAGAGGTTGTGTGCCCACACACACCACACTCCCCTCACACACACCCCTCACACACACTCCATCCAGACAAGCAGTCTCCCCACTGACAGACAGTTGAGTCGTTGAACCATTGTGTTATATATTGTCTGTATCTCTGTTCTCATTGGCTGTTGAGTGTGGGAAAGCTCAAGACAACTCATGCCCACGCGTGGATTTATTTTACCCAGGAAATGTTCATTCAAGAATGCATTCTCTCACATCAAGTGTTTATTACATTTTTCCAACTGAAAGTAGGCCTATGACTGAATAGTTTTTATATCTCCTGAAGGTAAATATTATGGCATTGAATACAAAAAAGAGGCACTACAGTATAACACTGTAACTAATAAGATAAATGGTTACTTTCCCAAGACAAATCCCAGAACTTCTATCTATGATCTATGATGGACTATGTGCTGCTGGGTCAGGGTGGGGAGACTGGGGACAATGCCACAGTCACTGGCACTGTGCCATGGTTGTGGTTCAGGCAGCGCAAAGGTCACAGATGTGTGGCCTGGCCTGTGGGTGCTGTGAGGAGAACTCTCTCTCCCTGGTTTCCCACCAGTCACCAGCACTGGGGTAGATCAGCTACAAAAGCCAGGCCGCTCCCCCAATGCCCCATTGGGAATGTTAATTGATCCTTTGTCACATGACAAACAGAAACCCTATGTCACAGACCATCTGGAAAAAAATCTAGTTAATAGGGCCTTGCACATCGACAAAGCGCTACAAGATCACCCTGTCTTCTTTTTCCACTTTGGCCTGGATGAACCTTGAACGTTTTCCATGAAGGCAGTTAGAGCTACTCATAAACTGTAATTTGTCAACTTCATCTATACAAAAATGTTTTTTACCTGTTAGCAGACATTCCCTTTTGGGCTAGCCATGCATTGACCACATTGACAGTGTGGTGACGAGAAGATTTTGACTAGCCTTTGTCCGTGGCTCTTTAAGTGTGTGTGAACAGTGACACACCCACAGACTGAATTCCTGCCATACACTCTGGACTGCCAGGCCTGTTGCGGAGTAAGGCAGGTTCCCATCAGCCCTCTGCCTTTGGGAGTGTGCTAGCCCCTGTTTCCCACACTCTCTGTCCATTCACCGGCCTCAATAAGGGGACAATAGAAGTGTGTCTTGTTACACATCACATTAACTATGGTGTTTGATCTCTGGTTGGAGGGAGAGAGGGGGCCGTAGCCACTGCCAGACCATCTGCAAGACTAACCCTGAGAAACTTCAGCCATGTCACTTCAGCCTGCCGCGGGGGGGGACTGGTTTGATACATTCACCTCTGAAGGTAAATCATGTACTTACAATCAGTAATCTTGCTCTGATTTGGCATCCTAAGTGTCCCAGAGATAAAATGTAGCATTGTTTTGTTTGATAAAATCCATTTTTATATTCAAATGTAGGAACTTGGTTCTACAGTTTGAACCCCTGCTATCTCTGACTCCACACCAACCCCGCCCGGCCATCTAGATGTGTGAAAGTTAGTGTATAAGCTAATGATCCATCATGTATGACATTCCTGGGAGTGTGTAAACGTACATTTTGTATTACCATATCATTTTTGTATGTTCTCTATAGTTATGAACTTGAAAATGTATCAATTGACTAATTCGGCACATTTGGGCAGACTTGATACAAAATAGTCCAGTATTGCAATGCTTCACTGGCTCAATCTGAAACTTTGCACACACAGTGCTGTCATCTAGTGGCCAAAATCTAAACTGCAATATTATATTGTGGCCTTTCTCTTGCATTTCAAAGATGATGGAACAAAAAAAATAGTAGAAAACGCATGTTTTTTGTTTGTATTATCTTTTACCAGATCTAATGTGTTATATTATCCAACATTAATTTCACATTTCCACAAACTTCAAAGTGTTTCCTTTCAAATGGTATCAATAATATGCATATCCTTGCTTCAGGTCCTGAGCTACAGGCAGTTAGAAATGGGTATGTCATTTTATGCGACAATTGAAAAAAAGGGTCCGATCCTGCATGATGCTGCCACCATCATGCTTCACTGTGGGGATGGTGTTCTCGGGGTGATGAGAGGTGTTGGGTTTGCACCAGACATAGCGTTTTCCTTGATGGCCAAAAAGCTCAATTTTAGTCTCATCTGACCAGAGTGCCTTCTTCCATATGTTTGGGGAGTCTCCCACAGGGCAGTTAAGAGGTTAAGAACTATATAGATGTTCAAGTTGATGGTGACTCACTTTTAGCCACTACTCTGTTGCACTGTTGTCCCATTAATACAATTTACTGCTAAAGATAAGGACAAACTATATATAATAAGTTACTAATCACCTCCCTTAATCTGTACAGTGATTCATTAGTGTGACAGAACCAGTTAAGAAGAATAGGTTATGTTCTATATGAGTGAAGTATAGGCATATATAGTAGATTGGATATAAATGTAGACAGGTGTCCTCAGTAATGTGGTGTTCTTGATGGGAGCCCTTGATAATTATGGGCATGCATTCCTCTGACAAAAAGTCATTATTTTAGGCTACACATATTTTGTCCAACCACAAATCAACAATAGGTTTCAAGGTTTGGGTTTATCAACCAGGAACCAATATCGATCTGACATCTCTGGGCAGTGGATAGGTGCTCCTCACAATCTAGGTTTAGGTTTGTGAATATAGTCAATCAATCAATGTATTCAATATACGGTGTTCTTTATAAATGTGTGGATGAAAAAGTTAGCCATACTACTGATGTCATCAGAATGGATGTGGATGGTGAACTTTGTGCAGATATGAGTTGATACGACAGACAAGATAGAACCAAAAATTCAAATTTTGAGAAACATCAATTGAAGTTTTTAATTTATTTTCAAAAGCTTTATGGCATGTCACTCCAAATAGTGTAATTTAAACCAATAAAGGCAAACAAACTTACAAAAACTTTTGTTGAATACACAAAATGCTTTTATGAAAGGTGTCTATTTCGAAGTTAGAATTAACGTTTTAGCGTTTTCCTTAAACATTTAATATTTGTATTATTAATAACATAAATGTTACATAATCATAACTTGATGTACATTTAGAGTAGATCCATTGGATCCATTTGTAGCATAATATTCATACATCACCAAATTGATACATTGTATCATTCAGTGACAATTCATTGTAAATAGTTTTTAAAAAATGCAAACAAACAGGCGGTGTCACAGACACCAAATAAACAGTAGCAACCCATTATGGGTTAGACATACAATAAAAGTATGTTATTAGCATAATTTAACTCTGTTTGTACTTTCAGAGTTATCGTTCTCAGACAAGAACAAGCATAATAGAAACATTATTAAATCAGTGTACATTTTCATATACAGAGTATGTATCCAAACCAATCTGAATCATTTCATAGAATCCTTCCTTTCAAAGGAATACTGGCAAAATATGCCCTTGCTTCATCTGGCCTTGCTTCATGAAGACTATCGACGTAGCATCTCTTACCAAATGCAAAAGAATTAGACATCCGTCACTCCGAACACCACTGTCCATGCCTGTCATAATATAGACTGGCCTGTCCAGTTCCGTTTGTCTGACATGAAAAAGTCTGAAGCGTTGCTCTACCAAGGCCTCCAGAGTGGATGGGAGACGGGGCTCATCACACCCTTGGTGGTGGCCTGGTGGATTGGGGAGCCCGGTGGGGAGAAGGACCAGGGAGCCTGGTTGTGTTGGCTGGATGTCTGCAGGCTCTGGAAGTGGCTCAACAGCGAGCTGTGGGACTGTGTCTTCACCTCACACTGAGACAGGAAGCTGACAGCCTCCTGCACACAGCGAGAGTAGCCCTCATTGGCTGCCGTGGTGGAGGAACTTCCTGCCTGCTGCTGGCAGCTCAGGAAATAGACAGTCATCTCCAAGATGTCGGCCTTCTCCTGCTTGGAGTCGGGCTGCTGGCGGAGGAACTCAGGACCCAGGAGGGACTTGAGCTGCTCAATGCTGGTGTTGATGCGATCCCTACGCATCTTCTCCACCACTGGCTTCCTTACCTGCACAAAGAGAAAACAAGGAACAATTTAGTCAACTTGATCTGCCATGTACTAGTATCAACAGCAATATAATAAGAATGAAATGTATTTATGTATTCAAAGATTTGAAAGCATTTGTTTACCTTAGTAAGTGAGAGGTGCTGCTTAGGGTTGGTCATCTGTCTAATCATAGTTGGTGCCATGGCTGTAGCAGTAGTAATTCTGTTGAGCTGAAGTCTCAGTAAAGAGCCAATTGGATATGTGCTGTCTTCCCTCTGGTTCTCCCTCCTATTTATACTCTTAAATCTCCATATGAATGTGTGGGTCTTGGGCTTGTTGGAGTTTCTCACAGTCCGGAGCCAATGAGAGGGCTGGGAAGGGCATTGAGAGATGCTGGGCTGCCACATGCTCAATGAAGTGTTTATTGCTGAGGGGACAAAGAGTGTGCCTCCAGGGAGCAGGTGGAGGGATGGGGAGGGAGAGGGAGTGGAGGGAGGGGGGCAGACATGGCACTGCGTTGTGGATCTGGGAAAGTGGTGACCCCAGAGGAAGGAGTGTGCTCGTCTCTTGCCAGGATCACAGAATAAAGGGTGAGCACAAAGTGTTTTGGCACAGGGCACACGTGGGTGTGAGACAGACAGGACTGTGAGTCAAATAGCTCATGGGGCTACTGTGTGTCCACTAGCTTAATCAAACAGGTTGTTTTCAATAGCCTAACTTCATATCCATGAGGATCTGTTCATACCCTTGGATCTTTGGTGTCATGTCATGTAAAGATGTATCAATGGAGTGATGATTGGGTAACATTAAAGTTTTAAGTTAGACTTTGGTGTGATCTGTATATTTGTCAGGTAGTAGATTTATGTGTTATAAACATTGCACAGTTGTAACTGCCATGTATAGTCTGAACTTTAACCCAGTATATATATCCAAAATTGAGTTTTGGAAAGCTACACATGTAGATATGGATTGCCAGCATTGCTACATGCAGACACACACACACACACAGGACACACCTGCCCGCACTGTCCCAGTCACACGCTCCCTTCCTGCCCCAGTGGAACGTGAGAGCCGCCGTGCTCCTGAGCTTCCCACACTTCAGTGTTAATGACACTGGGGCAGACACACAAAGGAAGTGTGCCCCGTCACACAAAGCTCGAGTGACCAGGGCCCTCCTCCTCCTCCCTCCTGCCCATCCACAGTGCAGTCAACAAGGCTCTCACAGGGCTCTCACAGGAACACCATCTGGAGAGATAGGACACTGTTATCACCCAATGGACCATGTGAGACCTGCTCTGTGAGAAACAGGGAGATGAAATAGAAAGAGTGAGAAAGTAAGAGAAGGAAAAAAATAATAATTGAACTTCAAAGTCTTTTAGATATAATGATGACTATTTGACTAAATACATTAAAATGTACGATTTTATATTATAAACTGGGTGGTTCAAGCCCTGAATGCTGATTGGCTGACAGCCATGATATATCAGACTGTATACCATGGGTATGACAAAACATTTACTGCTCTAATTATGTTGGTAACCAGTTTATAATAGCAATAAGGCACCTCGGGGGTTTGTAATATATGGCCAATATACCAAGGCTAAGGGCTGTGTCCAGGCACTCTGCATTGCTGTCCATGGTATATTGGCTATATACGACACCTCCTCGGGCCTTATTGCTTAATTATACTATTACCACCAAATAAAATAGTCTATACAAATTACTAATATCAATAGTATGAAAAATGTATGCGCTCACTAACTGTAAGTCGCTCTGGATAAGAGCGTCTGCTAAATGACTAAAAAGTAAAAATATGTAAATAGTAGCAATACCACTGCTATTGCAGTTGTAATAGCCATTAAAATGTCAATTTGTATTTAATCATCTTGATTTAGTTGTTTATATGATGCAATGAAATAGATTTAAAGTTTTATTTGAATAGTTTAGCAATATTCACAGCAATGAATGCATTTAAAGGAATTTCGCTGAGTGAAAACGTCTTTCTCTGCCATGGACACCTTGATTTTTATTTTATTTTATTTAACCATTATTTAACTAGGCAAGTCAGCTAAGAACAAATTCTTATTTACAATGACGGCCTACCCTGGCAGGGACGACGCTGGTCCAATTGTGCGCCGCCCTATGGGACGCCTGATCACGGCCGGTTGTGATACAGCCGGGCACCTCCAACCTGTTCATTTGGATCAGGACCATTGTATTGAATTAATTCAAGCAATTTGTGCACTTCCTATTGTCACATGAGATACACAGAGTCATCCTCATGTCAAAGCAGGCAAAATACAAAGATCTTACAGCACATCCAACATGACAGAGCTCTACGCTGACCTTTTTTACAAGAAGCACGTGTGCGCCTAAGTTGAAAAATCTAGGTGCACACAAAGAAATTTAGGAGCACAATGAAAAATATTTGAGGTAATAAAGCTAGAATCGTACATTTAAATTCCAGGTCGCACAGCAAAATATTTAGGCGCATATGTGAGTAAAATGGTCACACTGTAGAGCCCTGCATGAGGGACCAACAGACCTGGTAAAGACCACATCAAATGGACCTGGATATTAAACTGATGTGGATGTTTATCAATTAATCTTATGGGAGGTATGTACTCTAGGGTTATTTAACATATGTTTCCTTTCTTTGTTCCCACAGGGGTAAAGAGAAAAAGTGCACTGACAGGGTGGAGAAACTTTACACGGCTCTCAAGAGCCAACGCCACAACGGGGTCTCCAGCACAGACGTGTGGGACAAGACTGTCTCCTTCTTCTCAGTCAAGAGTCCCCTGCTCTTCCACAATGGCTACTCAAAGTACTCCAGAGATACTCTACGACTGTCTCCATTACCTGCTGAAGATGATGCCCCACTGTTTATCCAGTAAGGATCTCCATGGAAACACCAAAACCAGCAGTGGGACTGAGCATAGTTACATTGAGCAGTTACTGTACCCTTTGCAAAGTTACTCTCACACCAAATCCATCTTCATCTCTTGAAGATCTAAAGATGTGGACTATGTAAATTGTTGTGGACTATTTTGCAACTGAAATGATTGGGATATTTTTTGTTGTTGATATAATGATGTATATATATTTCCAGAGATTATTTTTGATAAAGCGATAGATTAAGTCAATGGTTTGTAATGACAGAGTTTTGACTCTATACTGTATGTATATGCCATCCAGACTGTGATGTTCTTTGGTCAATAAAATAACCATAGAATGTGCATTGTAGGCCTTAAGAAAAGCATGAATTGCTTTAGTATTCCTTGCAGAGATGGTCATTGAAGACTACTCTCTGAGGAAAGAGTTGTAACTGAAAGCCATATTCCTGCATACAAAGGAACAATATTATGTTGTTTATGCCTATGCATATGTTGAAATAAGTATAGTATAGGCCAGGGGCGCAACTTTGGTTTTAGAAGTGAGGGGGAAATAACGTCAGTCTGATAAACACTCCAAACAGCCTACCCGACCGCTCGGAGGCATCTGCATGATCCTAAAGCACACCGTTGCCTAGTTTTGTATCACATTCCAATGATAAAACTGGGGGGGACGAAAATGCAAGTTCAGAATGTGAGGGGGACATGTCCCCCCCCCCCCCCCCCCCCATCCCCAGTGAAAGTTGCGCCCCTGGTATAGGCTATGGTAGAGCCTCATGGTAGGTTAGATCATGAGTGAAATTATATTTCTGATATGAAATGTAAAACATTTATTGTAAAAACAAACTGATGTCTGCTTTTTTTGTTCATACTCAGTAATTTCTTCTCTATTGCTTACTAAATCACTTGACAATTTAAGATATTTTTTATCCACAAAACTATGGATCATGAAAAGAGTACACCACATTTCTTCAATAAGTATTTCCCTAATAACTGTTAGAACATAATAATACTAAATTTGCAGCTCTACCAGACAGTCTTTTCGTATGTCCATGTAACCTACATGTACGTGTAGCTGTCCTCGATAGTTGAGTTGATGATGTAGGACTCTGGTTTGCCCACCAGAGATCCCAATGTCCTTGGTAGAGTTTCTGGTCGTAGTGCTGGTTAGAATGGATACTTCAAATGTACCACCTGTTGTCTGAGAGGGATTGTCCTCTCCTCTTGTGTCTTTAGTGAAAGTTCTCTAGACAACTATACATGCCAGCTGCAGACTGAGATGATAAGGTCTGGTGCGTTGTCTTCTTCTTCACCTCGTGTAGAGAGTTTCAGAGTTTCTCCATTTCAAATGTGTGGACTAACGTCTCACGTTTTCTGGGCTTCCTGGTCTGGTAGAAATTCAACCATTTGAAATGTTTAGCTCACGCTTCACGTCTGCTGGTCTGAGGTGAATTTCATCACAAGGCTTTTTATGCACTCGGGGTAAAAGGGGCGTTCCATCATGTTTGTGCTCATCTGGGCGTTGCCACTGACTGAGAACAAATCAATATGGAAAACAATCATCTCATCTAGAATGCTAAAATCACATTGTTATTATACTTAATCATTTGTTTTACACAACAATTAGATGCAAACCTTATAACTGGGAAGTGTAGCCCCCCAGAGATACAGTTATGTTGTTCCACCGTCTTTAATGACATCACAACATAGTAATGAATTTGACATGAAGTCCCCACCAACCATTTCCTACATTCTTTTAAGTAGGAATATTGTTTCATTATCGCCTTTTGGATGTTGGATTCTTGGCGGGAAGACTTCCTTTGTTAAAAAAGGGGTTCTTTCTCCCAATACTTCATGGCAAGGAAGAGAAAGTCTGCACGGTATTTACTCATCCAGGAAAGGGGGTGTTCAAACCTTTGCCTAGCCGGCATCTTTGATCCTCAACCCATGAGGGCAAGTCATGACACATGTTTGGGTGTATGTGTGTCAGAGGTGAGGGATGATAAGCTAGTGTTTGAGAAGAGGTGTCTGGTGTGTTAGGACTTGCAGATGCACTCCAATTTCCTGAACAGAAAGGTGACATATTAAGTCTCTCTCTACACCCCACCCATTACCCCCTACTCTCACCCTGGCCTAGCTTCTTACTTTCAAACCACTAACCCCTAAGTTTCCAACATGACCTGATGTGTGTGTGTTACACAGGGTGTTACAGGAGTAGTTGAAGGCGGAGCATGCCTCGTACCTGCGGCAGCACCCAGATTTCCGCACCATGATGGCCGACTTCTTGCAGTTCCTGTTCGCCCGAGAAGACTTCAACACCTCTTCACCTTGAGGATACATACTGTGGCTTCCTCTCACAGGCACTTTAGTGAGGACAATACTAGCAGTTGTCACTAGTATGTACAGTGGCCCTCGAGATCTAGAGTATTGTTTTTTATTTTGTAATACTGTTTTAACTGTCTACTGTTTTTGTTTGCATGAGCTGTATTGAAACAAATTCCAATCAACTCATGCTT